TTTGGTAAAGTAATATTAAACTTACAAATTACCCTTTACATTTACCACATTTTTTCTCTCTGTGCACCCCCCTGTCAAATTAATATTTGAGGCTAGATTCTACTAGCATGGAATTTGTGCTAATTTGTGCCACCATTTTTAGAATTTGTGCTATGCACCCGAGCCGGCACAAATTCAACAAAAGTCGATTTTTTGAAAAAATGAAAATTTTGTATGGCGACCCCCTCTAAATATGCATGAAATCGTGAACAAAACACAGTTCTATATTCCTCGGAATTTGTGCTGACCGAATAGACCATTTTCAGAATTTGTGCCATTAACTCGAACTGGCACAAATTCATCAAAAATTGATTTTTGTCAAAAATGAACTTTTTGTATGACAACTACTTTTAAACGTGCATAAAGTTGTGCGCAAACCACATTTATTTACTCCCCGGAATTTGTGCTCACAAAATATATCATTTTTACAATTCTCACTATCAACCCGAGCTGGCACAAATTCAGCAAAAATCGATTCTTGTCTAAAATGAACTTTTTGTACGGTGACTACCTCTGAACGTGAATGGAAACGTGAACAAACTACATTTATATAGCCCACGGAATTTGTGCTCACCGAATGTATCATTTTTACAATCCTTACTTTCATCCTGAGCTGGCACAAATTCATCAAAAATTAATTTTTCGAAAAAATGAAAATTTTGTATGGTGACTTTTTGTAAACGTGAATGGAAACGTGAACAAACCACATTTATATAATCCTCGGAATTTGTGCTCACCAAATGTATCATTTTTACAGTCTTTACTTTCATCCTGAGCTGGCACAAATTCATCAAAAATCAATTTTTCGAAAAAATGGAAATTTTGTATGGTGACTTTTTGTAAACGTGAATGGAAACGTGAACAAACCACATTTATATAATCCACGGAATTTGTGCTCACCAAATGTATCATTTTTACAGTCCTTACTTTCATCCTGAGCTGGCACAAATTCGTCAAAAATCGATTTTTTGCAAAAATGAAAATTTTATATGGGAAAAATTTTTAAACGGGATTTTTTGGGGAAAATTTGGACAGGGATTTATTGCTATATTTGTGCTCACAAAAAATATATACTTTTGAATACTTTGGCCCAATAGGTTCGGAGCACAAATTACCCAAAAGTCTTGGGACGATGTTATCTGTTGCCGCTATTCACTCACTTCGTTTTCGTGCATCTCCGCTATTCACTTGGTTCGTTTGCAAGCGACTTACGCATCCTAAGATGCGTCATCGAATACAAATATAACATATGAATGGGGTAGAATAAAAACTACTTCTCGAAAAATGTTTAAACACGAAACCTAAAAAAAACTTTCGATTAAAAGTGAATCAATTTTTTGCGTCCAATTGAAGTGAACCAAAAAAAAAATTGTTCAATAAAAGTTTTTTTTGGTTCACTTTTATTGAACAAAATTTTCTTGATTCACTTCAATTGGACAAAAAAAAATTGATTCACTTTTTATTGAAATTTTTTTTAGGTTTCGTTTTAAAATAGCAATTTTTCGAGAAGTAGTTTTTATTCTACCCCATTCATATGTAGTTTGATTAGAGTTATATTTTGGTATATTTTTGATGTCTACATTTGTCGCCAAATGTTGAAAAGACAAAAAATTATTAATTTTTTTTAATAGAAACTAAATAATTAATTCCACCATAGACAGGTTTCGGAATAATTTCACTGAAAATAAGTGGAATGTTGTTTGTTTTTTTTTTAACTTATGAATAACGCCTATTATTCTCGCTATGTGCTGCAATGTTTATTAAAAACAATATTCCTTCATAGAAATATATTTTACGAGATAAATTAATCGGAAAAGTGTATTAGAATACCGGCCCTGAATCAAAAAATATGATGTAAAATAGAACTTGATGGTCCGCTTGAGAATCAGCATACTAAAACTATTGTTGTTGGCGTTGTAGACAGTATGACATCAATATCACATCGTGGTATCTTTTAGACTCCATAATTCCATAAATGACTGCATGAGTGTGAAAAAGAAATGAAATTATTAGTTAAAAATATTTGAATATTATGAATATGAATTATAAAAAAATGTACATTGTAGTGAAGAAACGCTGTATTAGTAATACTGCATCATTATTTATTTAACATGTAAACTTGATGGCATAAATGTTTCATATAAAACTAAAATAAAATAGTTGTCATACTATGTGAAAATAAAGAATATGCCATTCAAATGATCTATATCAAAGAATCAACCCATAAAATTAAATTAAGTGTGTAATTGGATCTACTTTTTCAGTAATTGATCGACAGGAACAAATTTGCGAGGCATTTAATATCGAAATCCAAATGTAAACACGACGAAATTTCAATCTTTTGACGACAAATGATTATACACATGCGAACATCCGAATTTTGTGAGTCAACTAAAAATGGGTCACTCTTATTATTTAGAGTTGAATTTCTGGATCTGTAAAGATTTTTATGATATTTGGAATCGAAGCAAATTAATTGAAATGCTTTTTATTAAAATTACTCGATGCAGATTGTATGTAAACATTTTCACTTAATGATCGAATAAAATTCTGTACTGGAGAAATGTTCGCCTCAAAGACATGCGTATGCACACATTCATCTTTTCCGTATACTGTTTGGTTTTCACATTTCTCCATAACACATATACCATCTCAAGTTGCAAATAATGAATGCGATCAAGCATTAGCACTCACACATATTAGTGTTTATATATATTGGTTCGCCGCTTAAGTGATTTGCGCAGTTTTACTATTAGTAGTCCCACAAAGACATTGTTATTATTTATAAAACCGTGAAAATAAAAGCTTAACATAAAAAGCGCTTGTAGCTTGAATAAGTTTTTTATGTCGATTCACTGCTGCTGTGTCATCGCAGTACTGGTATTGGTGGTAAAATCACAATACCATCACAGTTCATGGTATATTGGTATTGGAGGTCTTTCACTTAAGGTCGATAGACCACTCTTCTTCGTCAGTATCTAATCAGTATGCTATGTGCTGTGAACAAGAGGGTTTATTCTCATTAAAACACGAGTATTACCTCACGAAAAAAATCGTAGCACGTTTACTATTTTGCAACCAAAATATTCCTATTGCACTGATATTATTAAAAACAAATATTATTTATTAAAGAACTTGATCGATTAAAGACATATGTAGGAAAATCATTACTGAAATCATTACATTGACTATTTATTCAATATTATTGGTATCGAGAGGCAACAGTGATACAAACGTGTGTGGTAGTATTTGTACTCTCTCTTGTAAAATATAGGACAAGAGAAGAGAACTTTTCGTGTGACCTACAAACATTTATCTTCTGAACTCTCTTCGACTCTATTATTTTATAGCGGCGTTGTTATAGCAAATAAGCACAAATCTTACTATGTTCTTATTTTTGTTTCTTTTTAATTTATCTATTTTTACAACGGACATGTGTTTTGTGAATATATTTAGAGTATAATTTAAAACAAGAATTATTGTCGTGAAAAGATTTTTAACTGAAGAGGAATACGATAAATACACGGGATGAAACAATATAGTGATCAAGATATGTGATGTTTTAATAATACAGAAAGCACCAAAAAACCACGTTTAGTGACTTATAAGTGAAAAACCAATACAATAATTTTTCATTACCAAGACTTATTGACATTAAGCAAGTGAAAATTAGTTTTAACCAATTCCAAAAATGGAAAAATAAACCTGGCTATGATAATTATAATGTTGGAGTTGTTGATCTTTGGATAATATTGGATGTAAAAAGTGTCCGAAAATAAAGAGCGTAAGTTAGAATTTGATTTTTGAGTCTGATTTTAAAAACTTTCCCTGAATAAATTTCCATTTCGATGACGTTTGATACAAAATAAATCTGAATCAACTGAATCATAGTCGAGCTGAATATTATATTTGAAAAAAGGAAGTAAAACAATAAAAAAAGTCAATATAAAAAATGTGGATATACGTTTAAATTTCTCAATTTCTTTAGTAATTTAATTGCATGGCATCAAATTCACTTTGTTAACTTCATAGTTGTGTGAGTTGTTTGATGAGTTTTTGCTATGAATAATTATTCCACTGCATTTCTTAATGAAAAATTACTTGAATTTTATTCGTCAGTAGTATTTTCCTACCTATTGTGGTTTTTCTTCTACAACATTTTAGTTGATTCGGTCATTGCTTTAAAATAATTAACTGTAATCCAAAAAAATAATACTACAATTCTATTCCTTCGTGGCATATACAAAGTCAAAAAGATTTCATTTTCATGCCAAATGTTCCTTTCTAGCACAATGATTACTAATAAATATACATATAGCAAAACTTTCGCACAAATTTAAAACAATGGATTCTAACATAGATATATGAAAAAACATTCAGGCCGTATCGCAGCCACCATAATACAACATTTCAATCGTTTCGTAAATAATTTTAATTCAATTTGAAACATAATTTTTTTTAGAGTTGAATCAAAAGAACTATCATAGTTTCTTCAAAATTATTATGAATTTTTGTAAAATATAACACGCACATGTGTAAAATAGTTTAAAAGTAATTCTTCCGTATCGAATTTTTTCGAAATGCAGTGAAGATATGAAATATGAATAAGAATTTCGTTCATAATAAAAACCATTAACATAAAATTACAATATCAAATTAAAAATCTTTTCAATATTAGATATACTTTTACTAAAAGTTTGTTGAATATCATTATTATTCTTCAGCTATAGCACTTCTTCACCAAAGATGGTTTATTAATTATAAAAAATGAATGAAGTATTTAAGTATTTCATCAAATTCAAAATTGTTAGAAAAAACCTTAATTTCTCTATTCAAAAATGCCGAAATTCATTTAGAGTTGATTTTCATATTTTCTGTTGGATCTTTTGTTTCAAAATATTGCCGATTACCTCAAAAGTGTGCAACTGAAATTAAGATTTCTTCCTTGATATTCTTATCTAATTGGTTTGTTTGTGTTATTTTTATTTTTTCTCTTGCTTTTATTAACAAAGCTGATTCCAAGACTCAATCTTTGCATAAACATTCACTATTATCTTCGTAAGTGGTCGAATAAAAATGTGTATTTACATATTCGCTTTGACACTTAAATTAAATAAATATGTCTACTGAACCTTTTCTTTGAATATAATTTAAAGCTAAACAGGTAAAAAATCTACCATAATTTGTAATATGGAATTCCATTTGTTTATTAATGATCAAGACTGAAACGATAATAAATACCAAAATTCGATCACGTAGAAAAATGATTTGGAAAAACCAATTACTCATTGCATCAAAAGCTGATAATAATAGGTTATTCATAATTATAAGACTAAAAATTACAATTGATTTGTCAATAAACACCAACATTAATTAATGCGTCTAAGTATTGTTATTTTACTACAACAACATTTTAAATTGAAATGTATGCTTTTTATTTGGTATTTAGAACAGACAATAGCCATTAAAGTATAATTAACAAATGCGATGAAGTAAAACATCTTTTGAACACTTTTCATGACATAGATTAAATAGTAAGGATTCAACATAAATTAAAGATTAAAATGATTTTAAACACTATAGTCCAGAAATTCCAAATAAATTTTTAGACGTGCTCATAAAAAATATTTGCAGTCAAGTCAGAATTTTACTTAAGAATTACTTGGAATTTCTCGAGAAAATCTAAAAAATATTTAAAAAAATAATTCGTTCCTACGGATGATTTTTTTATATTATTAATCGTATAATACTAAGAAAATTGAAAATATGAAATGTTTGGTGAATTTCAATACGAAGAAACATAATTATAGACCAAGAGCCACTCTAACAAGTAACTTTTTTTTTTGCTTTATGTCAGAAAACTATATTGAACCATGCAGCTAGACATACACTAAACAAATAATTTTACGTCTGTCATTACAGCCACCCCCATCTGCACTATTATTCGCGGATAGAAAACACATCAATTAATAAAGCGAGCTGCATGTTTGATTTTCTGGAATATATTTTTTCTTTGCTCAAAGATTCTTCGATTCGTAATATCAATTTTATTCAAGTCAAAAATATGTTTCAATCATGGCATTATGTACAATGGCTTCACTAAGTTACAAGGTCCAATATTTTTTTTCTATACACATTATTATTGCGTACATTTTGTATTTAGGGAAATGTACTTCGACGTTCAAGAAACTAAAGAAGAGAGAAAATATGGTCTTGGCAAATATGGAAAAAAAATATTTTAAGTAAACCCGTGTCAGAATATCTTGACTGACTGACTGGATGACTATGAAAATTTCTATGGAAATCAATGAACCTTAGTCGGCTTATAGTCAGTCGGATAATTTGGGACAAGATTTGGTTAAAAGATTGTTAAAAACATCGGAATAATTCTCAAGGCTAAAAATTGACTAAGTTGGCAAGCATATATTTACATAAGCGTGTTTTAATGAAAATGTTTTGGTATCGAAAGTACATAAAACAGCATACTTAATCTTATTGAACACAGATATATACTTATTCTGATGAATATACTTCTAAACTTTCACGTTTTTAATTGAAACGTTTTGAAAGCTGCAAAAACATGAATTATAAACAAATAAGAAATTGACACACAAAAGTGCATCTCAATAAATCCTCATCGTAGCGTAGCGTAAAGAACTTATTTCAAGTTTATTACCCAAATTTTTTTTACTTTAATTCTCTTTAGCCTATTATAATGTATAGAGTTTATGTTTTTATTTTCATTTCAAAATCGTTTTATCTGTGTTTTTCTTTCCTTGAAAAACTTTCATAGTTAGTTTCAATGTATGAACGTATACAACAAATATGAAAGAAACAAAAATGAATGCTGAATAAACAAAATCAAATCGGAATAGATACATATGAATAGAAATGAAAACTGATATTTAAATAGGTGATATTTATTATAAAAATATGAGGCATATAAGCATACGTATATATAAACTTATTGCGTACATTTTTTAAAATCGTCTTCTTGTTATATTCATGTTGCTTGCACTTCAGCGTATTGGATTAATTTTGTGTGGAGAAATGTTTGGTATATATGAGTAAGTATTTGTTACGATATGTATATGTGTATGTGTGCGCACGCTACAAATCTAAAATAGCTGTTTACAAGAACCTTGTGCGCCATTGGTTTGATGAAACAGAAAAGAGAAGAGAAAAAGAGTTAATTTTTGTACGTTGGTAATTCATCGCGTAGCAAAAAAGACATGAAAGAGGAACAAAAAATTTTACCGTTACACGCGACCTAGTAACACACTTCCTTGTTTTTCTGTTGCTGCTACGCTGGCGTTGCTATTTATTTCATTTTTCTTTCGTATTTTCTTGAGCACTCGAATCAACGAGTTTGTTCGGTCGGCTTTACAAATAAAATTAAAAATGGGAAAGAAGAAAGATCGAAATGAAAAAAAGTACGGCTTAAGAAGAAGAGAAATGAAACACAAAAACATACATTTTAAAAGCAGTAAAGCCACAAATTCAAGTTTTTATAAGTATGCAAACATTCCGAATCATTTCGGCTCGTGTGGCTGTCGTACCATGAATTATTCTTTATTATGTTTGCTTTTCATCCTCTCTGTAGTAGTATGACTCGTTCTCGTTCTCTCTTGATTTTCTGATAAATACCACCAGAGTGAATACACAATTATTTGATTCGCAGAGTTTTCCCATACGATTAGAAATTTACTTATTCATCTTGCATGTATTTTATATTTGTTGAATTTAATCATATTTATCTATCTACCATCACATATTCCCTAAGGCAGGTCCTTTGATAATTATTTTTAAATTGAATTATGACTTTTAAGGAAATAATGTAAATAAATTGAAAGATTCGGGCTTCTTTCCAAATTGTGATCTTTTATCTCGATAATATTATTTCTAACTATGTTCATTTTTTATACAATTTTTAATCAAAAATGTTTTGTTTTAAAAACTATTAAATTAAAAAATATTACATTTGATTTACTTGAAAATAGCCCATTTATGAAGAAATATATACTATCTTCAATAAATACATAGCATTAGTAAACTTAGACGCATTAATATTATAAACGTCAAAGTAGTTAACTTTCGAAATTCTATGATTTTCTTAGTCAGTAAGTAAAAAATTATATTGAATCAATTCAATAACTTATTAATTATTAACGTAATAAATTATTTTTATATAAAATATGAAGCAATATTTAAAAAATAATTATTTACTTTTATAGTTAGTTGAACAATTAAATTATAAACGTCATCAACGTGCAAACAAATGATTTGATATTAAATAAACCTCCTTGCAATGCATAAATAAATTCAAAACCTTCAAAATGAATTATTGTATGCGTCAACATTCACTCACATACAATATGAATGTCCACTTCACCATAATCAGCAAGGTGCTAACAGCGATGAATATAGTGTGAACGTGAAACGTATAGAAATAACGGATCTCATCAAACTGGCACATAAAAAGCTCTATTGATAATCAAAATTTGGTTACGCATTCAAATCTGATCAAACTCAGGTTTATTCGCATCGGCAGATCGGAACAATGTGGGATTAAGGTTAAAGAAATGTAATATAGCATTCGTCTAAACTAACTTAAATACCAAAAAATGTCAATATTGTTTTGATGGTAAAACTTTAATCAAAAGACAGCAATGCGCGAACGCACATTAACTACGTAATATAAGACAGTTCCAATACATTTGCATTGTACATTGAGTATTTGGTATTGCTAAATTGTGAAATTGACAAAGAACATTTTATTCAGATATGGGCTGTAGTGCTCAGCAGCACAAAGAATTTTTAGGTCAATTCAACGGTTGTCTTCGTTTGTTTTCGACTTCTTCCTACTTAATATTGTGGTTTCGGTTTTTATTTTGGTTTATGGCTCAACTAAAAATTTTGAGACCATTCTTATTTTGTATATTTGGTTTTTTAGTTATTGAAAGAATAACCTGATCAGAGTTTGTAAACTGAAAATATTTGATTCATGCTGATTTTTACTTCGTTACAAAAACATTAATATTACGAATTACATGTCGCTGATGCAGGTGAGATTTTTATAAGAGAGACATAAACAACTAAATCGAAAGATGAGAAAGGAAAAGAAAAAAACAGCACACATAAAAATATCTGCACTGAAAAGAAAACCAGAAATGATTTGAACGCTGCTTATATGCATGTAAAATTAAATAATGATAGCAAGCAGAAAAGACTGTAGTAGTCATAGTAGCAGAAAATAAAACAAGATTCAAGAATGTGTATTTTTTTAGCATGTTAACGGCAAAAGAAAGTGATTATATAGGACACAGAAGAAAAAAACATAAAAACAAAAAAGTGAAACTTTTCTTCACTACATTATGTGGCATGGTTGAAGAAAAAATGGTGTCTTCGATGTCGACTACAAGTTTTGATCATTGTACATTTTTGGCTTAAATCTAGAAAAAGAATGAATGACCTAATTCATTGCTTTATTAACAAAACCAGTGAAATTTGGGAAATAATATTCATAATAATAATAATAATAATAATAGAAATAATAATAATGATAATAGAAAAAATCTGCACCAAACAGCGTTGCTTCGGTACAAATTGGTAATTTTTTTGTTACATTTCATTCAACGAATTTTATTTACAAATTTCCAAAGTACAAACTATGTTTGTCCGAAAATGTTTCATTTGGAAAATTCTAGTATGTCTTATAATATTATTTGCATTTCTTTGGTATTTCAGATTTTACTTTTCTATTCATTGGTATATGTATATATAAATATATTTGCATAATTTTCTAGTTCACAGACATTTCGCTCAGGGAGCTTCTCCGGAGAAGAATTTAATTAAGATTAAATTAATGCAACGTTACACACATTTAAAATAATTCATCAACACATTGTCTGAATTAAGAAGTATATGGATTTTAAGAAAACACTATAGAGAAAAATGAAAATTTAAAAATGAAGCTGTACAGTTTATCAGCATCGAATATGACCACGCAAAAAACTGATACACACGTGAACAACTTATTAAACTCTTGCTGGCCGTCAATCAGTTCAAATCGGTCTGTATGTCAGCCAGATCAATTTTTATTGGATGATCATAAATTGATGCTTGAAGAGCATGACATTGAAATGGATTCACTTCAATATGATTCTGATGCGGAAAAGGGTGGTGTTGATGTTTTTGACAGTCTAATATTAAGCAATCAATCATTGAACACAGAATTAGCCGAATTAAAACCATTACCACCATTCACTGGCTACACTGGTCACTTATCGATAAATGGGATATCCGGTCATCATTATCATGCAATTGCTCATCGGCATATTTCGTCCGAAGAAAATAATAACTTTTTGGTAAGTTTATGAAAAAGCAAATGAGATTGTTTATATTATTCTTTACTCAAATTCTCTAGACAACAAACTTAAACCAATCGTCTTCATTTTCGAGTCGTCCACTCTCAGCGAAGCCTATTGTTGGTATTGACGATCCCGTGGGAATTGGGCGCATTCTTGAAGAACAAAATATAGTTTCATCGTCAACATGTTTGCCAGACAGTGCATTATATCCTGAAACTACAAGTGATAACAATACAACATGTTATCAAGATGTTAAATTGTTTTCTGATAGTGGTATCGAGAACAAAATGTGCTCATCAATGGCCGATAGTTGCGCAATGACAATTCCATGCCCTGACTCAATATCAAGTGTTCGAATCTATGCCGATTCAAAAGAACAAGCTGTAGAATTTGTAGACATGTCCTCTATTGATGATATTGCAGCAATTATTGGCTCAGCTATTGCCGATACAACCGTACCAAATCAAACAGAAGAGCGAGATGGTGCAGATAGTAGAGACTCTTGGATGGATTTAGATGCATGGATAGATGGAAATTGCGTACCGAGTGTATCACAACAGGAATCTCTCAATGAATTTATTTTACCAAATTCGCCGGTACTCACGTCAAGTGAACCACCGACATCAACACTACATAACCTACTTACACAAAATAACTATATGCCGTTGCTTCAAAGCCGTCTTCAAAATGGGCCTCCACTTAAGAACGAAACACCGTCGTCCACTTCATACGGCAATGATTCAATAACAACAACGAATAGTCCTCCTGACTCTGTAGTTTCCACCACTGATAATTTGATTACAAATGGAAGTGGTAGATGCATGTCATCATCACTGCATCCACACCAACCCCAAGTAAGTTTAATATGTTTTGATACAAATCACTACTGACAAATTTGTAACAAGAAAATATTAAGTCAGAGACAATATTAACATTTCCGTTTTTCGGGAATTAAATTAAAATTTGATATGCTTACCTTAAATACTCGCAAAATAGTATTATTATATTTCAGAATATAGGAAACGTTAGAAATCGTAAAAGTACAAATATTACATAGGAAAGTATTTTTATTTAAAATTAATTGCAGATTCACAAATATCCATTAATGTGTCACTTGCAACAGTTATTATTTTTTCAATTTAAGTTCATTGGCACAAATCCATTGAACAAAAAACCAGAATTTTAATTTATCATTTGATTGATTTCATTTGAACCTATTTTTTTCCAATGTATTCGATAAAATTAAACACATTTGGTTGTTAGAAAAGTCTTCTAAAAAGTTAAAAAATTGTTGACTCAGTAATATTTCTATGCTAAAAGTGTGTAAAAATTGAAAAACAAGTTCTATTCCAATCAGAATGAATTGACTAAATTAAAAAATTTCAAACCGAAACAATTTCCGGGAGAGTTTGTGAAAGAGGGAGGTAAAAACATTCCTCTCTCGCATCTTTGCTGTCTGGTGTAATTCGAACTGAAAAATGGCTCTCTATCTATTTAATAATTCAATGTTGTCGCTCATCCTTATATACAGAGTGGTGAATCAAATTTAACCTATAAATAGCTAACTCTAATCCCTTGACTTGATATTGGAATATCATAATTACAAATTAATTATTATTTTGAAGTTTCTTTTCTAGTTATTAATAGAACTCGTGTCTTTGTGTCTTCACAACAGATTGAATGAACAAATCATTGTTGTAACAAAATAGAAATGTACCATATGACGGCCTAAGAAGAAAACAATAACATACAGAATATTCTGCAAAAAGACGAATACAAATTTATGTGAGCAAAAACCAAATATACAAACAGACAGCGCAAAAGTAAAACAGCCTACTTACATGTGTTTCTTATGTAAGTAGGCTGTTTTACCTGTGCGCTGTCTGTTTGTATATTTGGTTTTTGCTCACATAAATTTGTATTCGTCTTTTTGCAGAATATTCTGTATGTTATTGTTTTCTTCTTAGGCCGTCATATATAATAGGTGGTACAAATAATTTATGTTTTGTTGCTTCCTTACTGCATTAGTTTGTGAATGTTCTGTTATATTAAAATAAAAAAAAACCGCAAAATTCACCGTGAATGATTCCAATTATATTAAAATCACACTCGAAAATGAGCTCATTTGATTGTATCAATAAATACTAAAAACTTATGCGATGCATCACTTTATTGACAAAGTTGAAATATTTTCATCGAAGGTTGTATCGATTTCGAATGAAACAATCAATGCGTTCATAAAGAGTGAAACTGTCTAAAACTACAACATAATTTTGTTTCAGACAATCAGTGAAAATAGAACAAATCGCAATATTTATAACAACAAAAATACATTCCATTAACAAAACTCAATTACAAATTATAGAATAACAAAGTAATATTTAGAAATGAAGAACGATGCGATTTTCACTGTGACGTACTATAAACCGGCAATTTGACTGAGAACAAGCGGCATATAGATTCATTTCACAATTGTTTGAAATGCCGACGCAATGTCTTTTCTTATTCGTGCACAATCGTAGCACACACATACAGTGAAAGAGAGTTAGTAACATAGAAACACCAAAACCATTCATAGGAAGTTTGACAATCGTTGTGTGGATAAAACTGATTCTCAGTACTTTTTTTCAACTTTTGGACTTTTGAATTTCTTCTATAGATTCCAAATGTAAATTCACAATTAAAATGTTAATACACTAAAAATAGGCATTCCGTTAATTTGAGGTTCGAATACATGTAAGAAAGGTGGTCTTCGTTTGTTTCCCTTGAGGTCTAGGGGGTTCCGACTTATACGAATGTTGCATTTGCGAGCGAATGTTTCATGCATATTTTGCGAATGGAAGCAAATGATCACGCATACAAATTAAACACAGGAATGTTTATGTACAAATCACGACAATATGTCGCATCTCGCAAACAGTATGCGGCATTCGCGAATGGCTTCGAATGAAATATACGAATTTTCATAGATGTTGATGCGAATGAATATACTTTGTTTCGTATATTTTACGTATGAATAGGGAACATTTATATTTTGCGAATAAACTACCATTCACGAATAGTGAAAAGCCCCTATTATAGTTATTGTACCGCTCTCAAACTTGGCATAGAACTGCATGAGCGATGGACCTATTTAGCCATAAAAGAGATGATGAAATTTCTTCAACGGTTTCCTTCAAAATGCCAAATTCTTACTCTTTTTTGTCCACAGTAGTAATCATATAAAAATATCACTCGGAATATACTTGTATATTTATTGACTTTTGATAAACTAAATTAATGTAACCACTTGGTAAATATTTTATTTATTACATGAATAAACAGCAGCAAAATGAGTGGTTCAACAGCATGCAAAATACCTCGAAAGTAAAGCGGCGCATAAAACAACAGGTGATATTTTGCTTATTAATAAAAAATATTATAGCCTATAAATAAATATAATAGTATTTGTTCTAGAAGTGTTAAGTTGTTAAACTTATCGATATATTTTCTACAATTAAAACAAAACAGATTCAAGACAATAATTTAAATTATGAAATTAATGCTCTAGAATAGAAAACAGCATATTGAATAGTCGCAAAACAAAGGGAAAATAGATGCTGCTAAATGTGAAATGTAGTTGATTACAAAAAGCTATGGATAGTAGGATATATATATTTATTTGTTCATTGATTTTGGAGAAAACCAGAAAAAATAGAGAGTTCGGGTTTTCGGCATTCGATATGGCTAGAAAAACCCCCCAGAAGTTTTTTTTATTTTCCCCATTTAATTTTTTTTATTCATGGCCTCTTTTTTGGATTTCACTTTGAAAAATATTTCGATTCCTCTCACCATTTATTGAGTAAACAACAAGTGGATTGATATTTTTCCATAACTTCATTTAATTGGATAAAAGATGGAATAAATGAGTTTTACTCCAGTGTTAATTTGATTATTTTGGATCTAGACGAGACTTGTTGAAAAAAATTGCAGTCACCTGAGGTACCAAATTGTTTTTGATTCCTTAACCCTCTAACTGGTAAGACCATCTCAAGACGGTTGGCCATTTTTGGCAATAAAATTTAAATGTGAAAAAAAGTTTGTTCAAATGATCAAAGAACGTCTTTAGAATACCCATTTTTACATTTCGTTCCTTTGAACGAATGCAATCTGATCACTCGTTTGAGTGCTGTCATCAGTGCGAACATTCGAGAAAAAAGCATGAAAAATTATTTGCCAAAAATTCATTTTTTCAAAGTGTGAAAAAACATATTTCCAATCAGTGGATCGACTTGAAAAATTTAGAGGATATAGTTTATATGTTATATTTTCGATTTATGATATAATTAAAGTGAAAAAATATTTTGGTTGTGGTGATAAAAATGAAAAATACAACACCGTCTTCAGACGGTGTTGCCGGTTTGCATGTAAAAAAATGTCCGTCCCTAGACGTTATTGCCGGTTTACATGTAAAAAAATTGCATCACCGAATGGTATATAGCTTATCAAATAAAAAACATCTGACGAGGTGAAGAGCGAGAATGTTTCACATTTTAATTTCGTCACTCGCTCTTCACCTCGTCAAAAGTTTTTTATTTGATATCAGTAATTTTGCACAGTAAGAAAATATCAGCCGACGCTATACGCAAAACCGACTGGTACGTGCGCTCATACGTTTTTACATCTTTTACATCTAGTGACCATACGATTTTTCGACTGATTCGTTACTCTTTGTGCGTATCTTCGCAGAGTCGAAAAATCGTATGGTAATAAATGTAAAAGATGTAAAAACGTATGAGCGCACGTACCAGTCGGTTTTGCGTATAGCGTCGGCTGATATTTTCTTTCTGTGTGTGAGAGTAATTTTCCAAATTAAAGATTCAAAACATCTCCACACACATGAATTTTAATAATTTTGAAATACAACAGACAATATATTGAATTAACTGGTCAGTTGAGCTGACAGTACGTTAGCCAGCTAAATGGACTAAAATAATAGACGTTATTGTTTTAGTGATGAATCACTTTTCTTGTTTTAATAGAATTGATTGTTCATTATAACAATAACTTTTATTGTTTTAGTCCATTTAGCTGGCTAACGTACTGTCAACTCAACTGATCAGTTAGTTCAATATATTGTCTGAAATACAATTAAAATATGGACTTTTAGGTTATTATTTTGGCGCCAAATGTTATAAATTATGACTCATAATGGGAACGGCCAATTTTCAGTGGTGTGTGGTATACACGTTTTTTACTAGGGGAGTCTCTCACTTTTGTCAAGCATGAATAATTCAAGATAAAATCGATAGCATCGAATAAATAAGATTTCAAACGATATTTTCAATAAAAGCCGATAAAAGCAGTTTAGATGCAATATTTGTCGATATTTCAATGCCAACTTAACCTGCTATACCGACTTGTCATGTTGATGAAGTACTAGATTATGTTATTAAAATTGTCTGTCTATTTTTCTCAACAACTAAAAAAATACGATATATTTTATCAAAATATTTTATATTTTTTACATTTTGTAGGATTGGTGTTCAAAATATTCGCGAATAGTTGAATCAAAATGCTAGTCAAAAAATAATATGAATAATATAACCTCACTTTATTATGTATAGCAATGCAATTGTGTAATTGAAAGTCTAACACAAAATGCTTCACAAATTGCCATTTTTTGCCGGACATATTTATCAAAGAAAATAACAAATATTAGAAATAGTCCTTAGTAAGGACTCCTTACCAATGATTTTTTGTCACATCTAGTCATAATTCGAAAGAAAAAATCCTAGAAAAAATTCTTTCGAATTATGTCTTTTTCGAGAAAATATCCGTTATGTGTCCGGCCAGACGGTCAAATCTTGGATTTTGGCCGATTTGGCCACCATAATTTGAAATTTTCAAGTCGTAATTGGCACCATTCGATAGCTTACTTCAAGACCTTTCCATCGATATGCATATGTCCGGGCGTGTCACATGCAGACAACCTAGGGGCAGAGCAGTACTAGAATAATATTTTTTTTCAAGTAATTCTATGTTGTGAGTAGTAATCCATATTAATCCATAGTAATACACACTTACGTAAATTCTAACAGCAGTGCAATGACGTTTCATGTGTACGTTGTGTATGACATTTGCTAGGCATAAAGCGATCGCAGTATATTACCCAACATTAAATAGCTTCCCAAGTCAGTATACGTAGGCGACTATTTAAGTTTCTTCAATATGTATGTTTTAG